CGAAGCGCGCCTAGGAGTCATGGAGATGAAAATGTTGCGATGGACCGCCGGTGTCACGCGTATGGATCGCATACGCAATGACGACATAAGGAAGAGATTCGGTATTGCTCCTGTGGCCGAGAAAATGCGCGAAGCTCGCCTTCGATGGTACGGTCATGTTCTTCGCGCGAATTGTGACACTGTCCGTAAGATTGGTCTTGAGCTCGAAGTTCCCGGAAAGCGGCCTAAAGGACGCCCCAAGCAGCGCTGGTCAGACACGTTGCATGCGGACTTGAAGGTGGTTGGCACCCATCCCGATCAAGCATTCAATCGGGAGAAGTGGCGTGACAAAATAAGCGGACCCTGCTACAGAGCGGGACAAACGCTGAAGAAGAAGAAGAAGAAGAAGCACGGGAACGGGAGGGTAGTGATACCCCGGTGTCGTTTCCATACTCCGCCCGCGTTACACTCAAGGTGCAGCACTTGCGTAGATACCATGGTCCCCGCAGACAACGGTAGAGATCAATTAGAAGTAAGGCGGGCGCAAAGATGTAGCGCCTTTAGCTATGGTAAGGCATACGGCTGGCCCTGCGACCGTCTAGAAACGGTACCCTCTAGCAGTTCCCTCGTGCACCTTTAAGCGGAGAATATGGCACGCTACTGTCGTTTTGGACCCGTTTGCCTCGTCCATGGCAAACACCGTCCTGGGACGTTGGTGTACAGTTTGTCTTTAACTAGCAAGAAAGCTTTCGAATCTTTTTTTATAGCTAAATCAGAATTTATCAAACGATACCAACCTTTGGCAGCAGCAAAGGACACACAGATGTTCTTTTTACGCAAGTCTTCGTGGATCTGAAATAATTCATAGATGAGGTATTCATCGGAAGAAGGAGCATATCCAAGGTTGCTATGGAAATTTTTACAGTTTCAATGGAGTACCTACAATTAGGCTACAAGAGGAATATTGACTGGAAGGACTGAAAATCTGTTGTGCGCTAACAAAGGGGATGTCACTAAACTGGAATGGATACTACAAAAGCTGCTAGTCTACTGTCAATACAAAACTTTCAGCTGTGTACGTAGAGTCCTAAAAGAATCTATATCATGAATTTATAATGTCTCTTTCAATAGCTTCTGTTTCTCAAAGCCTTCTTTTCTCTTTCTTTATTTTTTCAATTGATCTCACTTCGCCTTAGTTGCGCCAACTTTCTGTCTTCTATAAGTTGTCAGGTCTGCGTGAACCCTTCTGACCTCACTCATTTCGACTCACGCGCATGAGAGACCATTTCCCTAGAAAAAACTCATCCCTGGTCACCACATGTTGTTTGTACTTTTTGATCCCTCCATATTCGCAGTTCTCTGTCTCTCTGCGCTCTGACCTTTCGCGCAAGGACCCCCACCAAAAGTTCTAGTTGGCGCGTGACCCGTCAGACTGTCATCTTTCTATATTGAGTAGCGGTACTCCCATATATTTTCTTTAACATATTTTCTGCGTTTGCTCATAAAAACTGATGGTATCGAATTTCTCACCTCTTTGAGGATATTCACTCCCATGATGTCCACGTAGGCAAATCCAGAACAATCTATTATGAGGTATTTCTTCTGGTTATCAGAAGACTCACTCACGGTATCCTTCTGAAATTAGAATATTTCAGTGTAAAGAGGGGTATTCACAGATCATAAGGCTGAGAGCTAACGTATTATATAAGAAGTTATTAGAAACAGAAACCACCTCGTTTGGTTCTCCCAGGGTTAAATGTTTCTTGTCAAGTTTCCCGCAATACTTGATTCCTTCCCAGTCTGTGGCCACACTATCCACTATCTTTCGGAATCGACCCACATTCGTGAACAAAAGGGGTGAATCGAATCGCAGCACACATACACTCTAAAGATTTTCAGAATTTGTGATTTTTTTTGGTTAAGCAAGGGTAGAAAGAACAGAACTGGTTGCACTTACATTGAAGAAATAGATATGGCGATATCTTTCTACATCACGGAAGTCATACGTGCCCGAGATATTAGCCAAAATGTGCCACCTTGGCCTGAAATTCCATGAGCTGATCAGAGATCTAGGTGCTATGTAAATAAATACGTAATAAAAATACAAGTAATTTTAAATGGGAAACGATGGAAAATATGGAGCCTTTTTTCTCGGATGCACCAAACCGCTTCCATCTAGTAGTCACCGCAAATAGGATATTAAAGAAGGATAGAGCCTCCCTCATTGATCAGGGGATGAGGGAGGCTCTATTCTTCTTATTAGGGGATGCGCCACGCATTCTACATCCTTCAGGATCGTGGTGACTTATAGAATGATCAAATGTTCCATCGCAATGGCCATCCAAATACAATTCAGTTCTTATACCTCCAGATGAATATGACCTGAACCCAGACTCGCGTTAGTGTAATGTCCACTGTAGCCACTGCCCATTCACCACCGCCTCAAAAGAATATTGGTGGAAATAACCAATCAAACTCACCACTGTTCCCTGATGACAGTTGTGAAGAGAGCAAAAACGATGGCAATCCCAAGTCCTTCTACTACATCTATACAGAGCGTGGCGACGAACGCGACCACCCAAATGCTCTGAAAAACTAACAATGAGGCAGGTTACATTAATCAGCGCGACCGTTGGGCGATCAGACCAGGCCACGCCCATCGTGAAAATTTTCTGTAAAAGTAGACCCCCCCGCCCCTTAGTCCATCCTTTTACTGAACCCCCCCCCTCCCCACCTACCTGCCACTTTCGGTGATTCCACCTCTACAGTTTTCCCACTTGAAAAACTTCTGCCGTTTTTCTCTCCAGATTTTGTTGCGACGCGGGCGAGAGGGGGGGAGGGAGAGAGAACTAACTAACTGCTTTCAATTACCGGAAAAATAGCTGTGTAAGATTCTTTGCAATGCGCCAACTAGAGGGTGGAAACTAATGAAAGACTGCGGCAATAAAGTTGCTCAACAACGGCGTAAAAAAATTTTCCAACCCACAAATTCTTCTCAAAGACGAATACGCATTCCCCCTCAACAAACGAGCAACTACGATCCTCCTCCCTCCCTTCATAGCGTCCATGAAACAAGAGAAATCAACTATCAAAAAGAATTTTTCTCAAACTCCATTCCCTCGAGGTCAAATACGACCCCCCCCCCCCATTGTGATCATAACAACGATGGGCGTGCCCTGATCAAAGGAGGTGACAGTCCCTCGGTCTTCGTTTGCCATGCCTCCTTCCCTTATAGATAATTCGAAATGTCAGAGTACTGGACTGAACTTACAAAGTCAATTTTGGACAGTCGCCACAATCTTTCTAGTTGCCCAAATTTCTCGAACATTCCCAACAATGCCGTGACAATGATGGAAGCAAGTACGCACTGAAATCAAAGCACAAAATAAAACTCTTTGGTACAACTACATTGAAACTGTCAGAGACTATGTACCATTGGTAACGGCTGAAGCCATGAACCACTGAACTGCACGATAATGAAGATGAAGAAACTCGAGAAAAGGGAATTCAACTGAAAAAGGACACTTGAAGTGCTTGTCAGCAACAATGTTGTTGCGGTAAGTTTGCTTCTTTTGCTTGGAAAATGAGTAACGAACTTAGGCGGGTGGAACAGGCCGCGAGATTCTGGTTCTGCTTTTCCAAGACTGAACTTGGAAGAAGCAAACGATGGGCCTTCAACTGTCAAATAATATGTTACCTATAAATCCCATGCGTGGGTAAATCCGCAAGAATGCCCTGAGTCCTCTAACGGATAGCCTTCTCTATAAGTTCTGAGAAACTCACCTGTGATCTGGTCCCAGCTCCGGCACTAACCATTGTTCGAGATAGACTGCAAGAATTGGGGAAAACTGGGAAGAAACCACTCAAAAGCGATGAGAAACCCATTGCATAAAACTCCTGGAATAAAGCTGATTGATAAGCTTGAACAGAAACCTCTTATTCACCTTCGCAGATCGTGGACTTTGACATGTGTGAGGAGAATGGGTCCACAGCTGCGATAGCGTGCCACTTGCTTGGCGCAAAAGTGCATGAGAATGGAACAGGAGGGTAGTGATACCTGGGTGCCATCTACATATCGCGCCGCAGTTGCCGCACGGCCAGCCACACGCCTAGCCATTAAATACAAGTCTACTTGTCTGCGCCCTCTC